GCACATATAAGCCTGTTGACAGAATGGAGAACGTATCCTACTGCAACCATCAACATCATTCATTTAACATGCTCTTTTGCATATATGGTTAGAGACCGTTTTCTCCACTCTTATATTTTGCTATCCTTTAAAGTGCAGGTCAGAGTGGCATCACGAAATGTATATGAGGGAGAAACTTAGTTGCATGCTCAGATAGACAAAGACTAATAAGTTCAAGATTATATAAATGGAAGAAAAGTTTCAACAAAACAATGCTTTTATATATATATATTCCATTTTTTTATTGTCATTACACTGTCACAAGCAGGAAATTAACTCTCTTAACTATCTTTTTCCATGCATGAGTAACACCTTCTAATGGCAGTTCCAAGCCATGAAGCAACCCCAATGGCTTAGTAAAGCCTTTGGGGTTGCTTCATTACAGAAGCAGCACAAACAACTGTGGTTTCTTTGGAGGAGCTGCAGAAATACCAGAACTTAGGTTGAAAATCTCAGTGTCAACTGTTTTTTTTTTTTTTTTTCTTTAACAAGGCCGGATAGGACATGTGGAAAAAAAGGGGTTGTGATTAGATGACACCAAAATGTATTTATTTTTGGCCAACATTTTTCCTTATGCTTACTTATGGAGGAAGACTTACACTAAACATAACCTGCACTCGCTACCCCCATAGTAACACATGGTGGTGGCAGTGTCATGCCATGAGGAGTCCTTGAAGTCAGCTGAAAATTCAGACTGCAGACCTCCAAATTTGCTGATTACTTATAAGATTGCTTGCAAACCATGCATCCTTTTAACTTCACATAATTACAATCACAAAACTGTAAGAAGAAATCAGCTAAAATATGACTGTATGCATACTTTTGGAAGGCAAAAGTTAATACGTAGCAGCTCTGTTCCATCATGCTCAGTCTCAGACCACAGTCAACCAAGCTGAGTTATTCTGTTTTCAGCGTAACCCATAACAGCCAGTGATATCATCTATTTTCCATGGGTGTGCATACAGTCAGACACGCAACTGCAAAACAAGACACATGATATGCATCGAAAACTGCAAATCAAACACTTCCTGAAACTTAAGATAATGCAGTTAGAAACATCTACTAAATAACCACAATTAAAAGATTAAGAAGCAGCACACATGAACTCAAACTAAACATTAAAAAAGAAAATGCAAAAGAAGACAAACACACACACCAGAAGCAAGACGTCATTCACACACAGACACTGTCTGTGCTTGGATAAACCTCTTGTGCCCAGATAAATCTATACAATAGTCCCCTTTATGGACATAGTCTCTTGTGTGTGATTTAAGAACTCAAAGGCGCCCCATTGTGGTTGTTTGGTTGCATTGAGAGAAGCTTCACGTCTATATGGCTAGGCTGTGACTGCAGGCTGTGCAAAGGATTATGGTTTGGATTAATTTCTTTAGAACAAGCTTAAAATGATTGTGCACACAATAGCACACACATATTATTCTCACAGGCAGTATACGTCCTGCATAACCACAAAAGCTTCAACAACAGACAATGCTGCAGCTGAGTATTTGAGTAGACTTTTGTACCGCACCATGTCATCAAACACCTTCATTCTTAAAGAGCAGCTGATTAAAATATAGTTTACAATGGAGCTAATACTTCATTTTTTATATATATATATATATATATATATATATATATATATATATAAAAAATGAGCCGTTTACAATGCCTTACAACTATAATAACTTTAGTCACAAACTTTAGTTTATTTCAATGGGAATTTTTTATAAAGTGGAAGTATAAAAATACAACAAGGTTAAACTCTGGCTCTTATGAGCTGGTGTCCAGCAATGTCTCAAGTTCCTCTCCATTAATAAACCTAAAATAAAGTGTAAGGTCATTAACACAATTAGTTGAAGGAAGACCTCTTAATTCCCCATTTGATTCAGGTACTTTTAAAAGCAGATGCCTCTAAAACATGTCAAAAAATTAAGGTCTATAGGCAAAATCCAATCAATCAAAAGATAAAATATACATATTTTTCTTGGAATATGTATATTTTCCCTTATTTTGAGCAGATAAAACAATCTGGAAAAGGAATAAGTTTTACTTTAAAATAAAATTGTTTTATCTTATTTCAAGTTTATACTTTTTTTTGTTTTAAGTGCAAAAATATCCCCATTCCACTGGCAGATTGTTCCTTTTACCAGCTTATATTAAGAGTAAATAGAAAAATAAGCCAACATTTCTCAAAATGCGTTTGTTAGTTTTCCATTGTTGTGTCATAAATAATTTTATAATGGCTGAAACTGCTAAAAGAAACCCAAAATTATAAGGTTAATGATAGCAGAACGGCGTGATCTTGTAAATCAAGGTAGGAAATCAAAACCCTTTCATGCAACTACAAGCATCCCTTTTAAAACACTTCATGATGCTAAAGCGGCTTGAAAAAAAAGTGGGTTTGAAAAGTTCCAGGACACCAACTCAGTTTGAAGTATTTCAAGTATATACCGTCTCCTACTCTGTATTGTTAGTGTCACTGGAAGGAGGTCCTCTGTAACTGACTGGTTTATTTACTGCCACCTTGTATTTAGCAAAAAAGTTCCTGCTGGAGAACAGCATCCCACAGCATGATGCTGCCTCTCCCATTATTCCGTGAGAAGATTAAATTCAGAGGGGTCAATTGAGTCATTCATTATGTAATCATATACCATCCTTTTATATCTTTGCTACCACCCTCCATGGTTTGTGGTTCATTTAACTTTCAACAATTGCTTTGATCTCCCCATCTTTCTGAATTAGCGCTGTAATGAAAATGACATGATGTAGTTCAGTTTGGCATATCCTTACTGGCACTAATCTTGTGTAATCATCATTAATGGCTTGTAATTACAGCAGCGTCACTACGTCACAGCGGGACTGCGTCAGCGTCAAACGTCCCGACTGCAGATGCTGCCTTCAAATGCCAGTTAGAAATTTTAAAAACAGTTATGTTTACTTCATCGTGATTGAAGTAAATGATGATTTTAGCCCGTGTTGCAGTTCTTGCTACATTATCCTGACTTTAATTTCTAATGTTATGCGTTTAAAAACGCTCTGGGTTTTGCAGTAGGTTTATAAATGTTTTAATTCCTTATGATTTAGAGGTTACATTTGCAAAAAATATATATGCTTCATTGAATACCGACACAGAAGATTAGTTTAATTGTTTAATAGTATATTTAAACTAAATATTTTATTATTCCGATAAGTATTTATGTGCAGGCTTCTCGGCTTTAGCATTTCCGAGCTGCTCTAAATGCACCATCCGTTCGCTGCTGCACCTTTCACTTCATTTTGCAGCCACAGCGGAAAATAAATAATGAAAAACAATGTCAAGGATAAGGACAGCAGTGTCTCCAGAGTAAGGGACTGATCATGGCCTCTCGGTGGAGAGAAGCTCCTCGCTGCCGCTCCGAGGAGCCTGCAGTCAGCCTGGAAGCAGCTGAGGCGCCCCGGCGACAGGAACCGTCTGAAGACACCGGGGAGCCGCTGCAGGAGCTTCCCAAATGGATGCGGCTCTACCTCTACGGCATGCACGGAGTGACTCTGGATGTGCTGTTCTCCTCTCTGCAGGGGATTTTAACCAGTCGGGACTTTAAGCTGGTGGGCTTCTCGTCTCCGTATCTGTGCGTCATGCACGCGCTGACCCACTTTGCGCTTGAGAAGATCTACTCCCAGAAGAAGAGCTTCCAAGGTCGGCCTGTGGTGTTCCACCTGGTCTTCTACCCATCTGTCTTCATCGGGCTGCAGCTCCTCATAGGGAACATCAGCACTCTGACCGAGCAGGTGCGAGTGGTGTCAGGGACGCAGCTGGTGGTCCACTACATCCTGGCTCTGTATTTCTCCCAGGTGTTTCATAAAGGTCTGTCCAACCTGCATTACAGACCCTCCTCCAGCTGCGCGGATCTCTGCAGGAGCCTCGGTGGTCCGGGTGCGCCTCCTTCGCGCGCCCTCCCTGGGTTCGTGCGCTTCTTGTTTTTTGGCATGCATGGTTTTCTGGATGAGGTTCTCTTCACGTCTCTGTTCAACCTGGTGGAGAAAACCGACGGGACCCTGGGGGGGCACACGTCCCTGTGGTCTTTCCTGATGTACGGCAGCTGCAGCTTTGTGGTGGAGAAACTCTACTTCCACCTGCACTTCGGCCGAGGATGGGGGACCTGGCGGCGCCTGCCCATCTATGTCTGCTTCATCTACACCTGGGAGTTCTGCTGTGGGCTGCTCCTCAGGCAGTTTGACGCCTGCTCCTGGGATTACTCCCACTACCCGCACAATTTCATGGGACTCATTACTATCCTGTACCTGCCAGGCTGGGTGATCCTGAGTTTGTACCAGGACGTGTTGACCAACGTGCTGTTGAGAATAAGGTGCACCAAAGATCTAGACTGTGAGAGTGGGGGAAATGGAGAGGTCAATGGGCAAGCTAAGAAAAAATGATTTAATCTGACCCCTCACACATATGCCTCACTATTGAAATGAATTATGATAATTCAGGTTCATCTCAGCAACTTGGAATATCATCAAAAAGTTTATATACTTCTCTCTTCCTAATTAAAAGAATTAGATTGATTACCAGAAGGATAATCTTAAACCTGAAATGTTGGGAATCATGACCTTGTCTTCCAAATACAAAAATTTGTAAGACAATGAAACCACTTGTTTTTTTGTTTTTGTTTTTTGCAAATTTACCCTAAATAATAAGGAATTACAACATTTATAGACCTACAGTTAAACTCAGAGCGATTTTCAACGCATAACATTAGAAATTAAAGGCAGGATATTGCAGTAAAAACTGCAACATGGGCTAAAATCGTCATTTACTTCATGGCGTTGAAGTAAACATAACTGGTCTTTATCGTGGAAAGTTAAGTGGAAGGATAAAAGTGTATAAATGCAGCTTGTTATACAGTAATTAATGAGGATCATAATTAATGTTCTTGGAAGTGTTTACTTCTATTCATTTGGATTCAAATTCCTTTCAGTCAATGAAAAATCTTAATTTCTTCTGAAAATTTGAACATTATATAAACAGGAAAAAAAAAACTGGGAGCCATCCCCATTATGTGCAGGTCAACATTTTTTCCATCTGACAGATATATAGACACCAAGTAAAGCACTACAGGAAACAGCTGAAGAAACCTTCAGTTTAAAGAATTCTGTATCTAAACCAATAAATGGGAAGTTATTTGGAAGGAAAACATGTTGAGAAAGGTAGCTGTTAATACTGCCTTGGCCTCCCTTATTTATCTGAAAAGATATATTTTTAAGCTCACAGCAATTAAAATGTAAAATTTTTGATCTTGTTTTTAAACTGAACATCATATTCACTCCGAACCCTATGACAGCTATAGCCAGTGGCATTTTGACAGTAATTTCTCCTTCCACTCAACTTTCCTTTCATATTCTTCAAAACAGAACAAAGTATAGCAAGTTTCTTTACTAATGATTACCTTAATAAAAGTCTTTATTTGTCTTCATATTCTAATGAACCAAAGCTCATTATCTTTAAGCCATAATTATCAACATTAAACCTGAAAGGTCTTAATTTATGTATAATAAATGTATATAAACTACACACTGTCACTTTAATTGAATGACTGAAATCATTAAACTTTTAAAGATATTGTAATTTATTGAGATGAACCCATTTATTATATTGAACAGCTTCTAATGTTCGCTTTATGATGTCCATGAAGACCCTTGACTGTTTCATACCCACCCATGAACTTACTGCCATTTTATTAGAAAAGGGATTGTAATACTAGAATATTTTATAGCGCCATACTTCTATAACTGTTTGGATGCCCAAAGTTTTGTGGAAAACTAAATTTGGGATTCCTCATACATGTAAAGTAATTTAGAGCAATTCTGTTTTTCTGGAGTAAATGATTCAGTTTTTGAATAAGCTGAAACTTGAAAAGTAACATGGAAGTTTTATTATGTTTTATAATCAACTAAAACACAAAGATTGACTCCAACTCGTCTTTTTAAAGAACAGTAGAGATTAAGATTCGTCTGGCAGAAATAGACAAATGAGTTTTAGAAGCCAACAAGATTGAAAATAAACCAGTGATAACAGATGAAAGTTTGAAGGCTCAAAAATCCAAATTTGTACACGGCTCTGTTCCGCCTTGGCTCAGCTTTGTGGCCAGACAGCTGGCCTGGCTCTGCTACAGACTCACCATTAAGCATTGTGGGTAGTTTTTAAACCACAGGAAGTCATTTAGCCTGCTCAGCTATAACTTGTGCACATACCAGCACGCTAGAACTGTCATGACAAAAATAAAATAAAAATTTATTTGGCTTTTTATATTAAACCCTGCTCTAGAAGCTGCCTGAAGTTCCAAAGGCTAAAATTTGAAAATATTAATTTTTTATTCTCTTTATAGTAACAAACTCATTGGTTTCCGTAAATTGCCTTAAAGGATTTTAGAAAATGAAAAAAGTAGTTGTAATAAACTGATTATATGCATTTTTTTTTTTTTACCAAGTCTCAATAAAAAAAAAAGTATTGAATTATTTCTGTAAGGGATCAGAGCAAAAAGACATTAACCCAGTCCTAAATGTAGCGATGGAGCAAACCACAAATTTGGAAGCAAGGGAGGTTTCACTGTGAATTTTTCATTAACCAAACATTACTTTGCTGGAGTGCCTTCCTGTGTAAACACAGACTCAATTAAACAAAACATGACTCCTTTACTTGGCTGCAAGCACTAAAGCCATGGATCCCAACACCTCAGCTTTGATGGCTCAGTAATGAATACATCTGTGTACAATGAAAAAATAAAACAGTTTTGATTTTTAATTAGAAAGCAGCGTTTCTTTCTATGTGATTCCCAAATGCATTTAGAAGTGCAATTGTTCTACGTTCTAAATACTATTGTCAAATTATGCAACCTGTCAGAGAGCTGATGCCGGTTTGGCGATTTAGTCTGTTTTGGACTTGGCAGCTATACTGATGTTTTTAAAAGTTTTAAATATTTACACCACTTACTGCATGAGTCCATTATTTTGCACATCATAAATATATTCCCTGACCGCATAACTGTACTTTTATCATACTTAACATCTGTTTGAGCATCTTTTAAATAAAAGTTTATAAAAGGCATAGTATTATACTATGTGTAACATTCAAAAATGCATGCACTCTGTTTCATCATCCTGATTAGACATGGAAACTTTCTGTTACAACTTGTTCTTATTTTTTATTAGTAAAAGTGTAACAGTTTTGTTTCAAGAGACTGTCAGCATGCACCTTTTGAGAATCAGTTTATGTAACATTCTGGTTTGCTTTACTTTTACTTTTTTTAAAGTTTGCTTTGGAATTAATGCTGTTAAACTGCTCCTAATGTTTTGGATAAATTAAACATTCCTCAACCTCTAACAAATCCGTATTATGCTCTTTATGTCAACTTAATAGCCTAGGTACTCATTTGTAAGCTTGATGTTCAGTTTGACTGTGGTAACACATTTGCATGACATTTCTATGTGCAAATCTTTAAAAAAAAAAAAAGTTAAATTTAACAAAAACATGTCTGTTAAAAATAGTGATGTTTCCTAATATTTGCAATACTTAAATAACCTTTCTAAAACATCAGACCAATAGTTAAAGCCTAAACATTTTGGAAATATGACAATAATTTCCCAGTTAATGGGCTCTGGAAAGATAGTATCACTTCTCTTACATACATCCTCATCTTCAGATGTTTAAGTAGAACTATGTACAAAATAAGGGCATTTCCAAAGCCAATTGTTGCAATATCTTGTAGTTACAAAGATTCCCTAACCAGAATTCATCCATCCATCCATCCATCCATCCATCCATCCATCCATCCATCTTCTTACACGCTAAATCCCAAGTGGATGTCGCGAGGAGTGCTGGTGCCTATCTCCAGCTGTCAATTGGCAAGAGGCGGGGTAGACCCTGGACAGGTCGCCAGTCCATCGCAGCTAACCAGAATTTGCACAAATTATTTCGCAAAATATTATATTGTCTTATAGCAAAATTTAAATATCAGAGGAATATAAATGAATGTAAACACACTCTTTATGATACCTTAGAGATGCCTCTAACCTCGGCAAGCATTCAGACAGCATAAAGCTCTAGGGAAGACAACAGAGTTCCTTGGTGACTTTCAGCAAACCTCACTGCACCTCATTGGGAATACATGAACTACCCAATGAAGGCTCATTAGCAATAAACTGATGCACCATACTGATGTGCAAGCATGACACAGCTTAGCTAAGAGAAAACAGGAAGTGGGAATGCAATCTTTACCTCACAGTTTCTTCACTTTTAGTTACTCAAAAGTTTTCTTGCTGAACCCTTGCCAGCATATTAACCAGTGAAGCTATAAATACACAGTTTGAAAGGGGTAATTATTTATCTGAAGTGCATAGCCTGAATAGTGTAAGAGTAGAAGACCACTGTGATGTTATCCAGCAGTTGCTGTCTTTGTAGATTGAGAGCCTGAAACACCATATTTAGACAAAAGGAGAACCAGCTTGCATAAAACTGTAAGATTATATTTTAGGCCTGATAAACGTTCATCTAAACCATTGTGTCCAAACATAACTGGGTGCACAATGTTATACATCTTTACTACAAACATTGACTATCAATTTACAACTGTTTTGAACTCAATGTTGCATGCAGTCAAGGTAACCAGGTATTAATGGATCCTCTGAGTTTTAATGCATCATTTTTCCTAATGATAGTAAGCAATATGCTTGGATGGCAAACTTTGCAGAAGTTGCTGTGCAGCTGAAAGTGCTAAAAAGCCCAAATGCAAGTTTTTTCCTTTTAAATCATACTAAAATTAAAAGCTTTCCAAAAATGCCATTACAGTACTTAGAAGCCACTTTCAACTATCCATTCATTTTCCGTCACGCTTATCCATGCTGGGGTCGTGAGGGGTGCTGGTGCCAGGTCTCCAGCTATCTACGTGCGAACGGCGGGGTATTATCTTGACAGAGGTGGCCAGTCTATCGCAGGGCAACACAGGGACTAACTGATTCTAACCATTCACGCACACACCATTGAGGAGAATTTAGAGAAGCCACTTAACCTAACAGTCATGTTTTTGGACTGTGGGAGGAAGCCGGAGTACCTGGAGAGAACTCACGCATGCTCAAGGAGAACATGTAAACTTCATGCAGAAAGATCCTGCACCTGGAACCTTGTTGCTGCAAGGTAGCAATGCTACCCACTCGCCAACGAGCAGCCCACTTTCAACTATATCTATATTATTTGTCAGTCTTTAGTCTGCACAAGGCTAAAATTGGGGTTACAAAACCATCAGCAAAAGGTTTGGGGAAGAAGGAGACAACCCCTGGTGCTGTTTTTTTTAAAGTGACGGTCACACAATTAATTGTCCTCTGGCTGGTCTCTGGCCGATCTCTGCTAATGAGGATGATGGCGATTAAGGTGAGGGAACATCCTAAAACTACACTGCAGGTCTCTGAACTTGATCTAAAGGCATTTGGGGCCTCAGTTAACAAGACAATGGTATCACACTATAACGACTGAAATCTGCCCGCATGGTCACTCTGCTTAAGGTGACCCATGTACAGGCTTTGCCTAAACTTAACAAATTTGAGTTCAACATCTAAATAACTCAGGAAAGGTTTCTGAGAATGTGCTGTGGTTGGAGAACGAACCAAGGTGAATATGATCACGAACTT